AATCTGGTCTGGCGGGAGGGAGAGGGGGGGGCCGTGTTGATTGGAGAGGTAACCGGATTTTTGGAGGCGGCGGGAAGAGGAGAAGATGAGGTTTCCGGCGGTGGCGTTGATTGGAGAGGGTAAGGGTGAAGAGGTGGTTTCCGGCGGGCGGAGTTGTCCCTGCCGACCACCATGTTCAGTGCTGGAGTGGCGGCCGCCGGATAATTTAGGCAGCGGCGGAGGCCGTACTGGCAGGCGGCGGGGTGGATTCCGGCGATGTCGCTGCCTCCCTACCCATCTATTGCCTCCGGAAATATTTGTGTGCTGGTGCTGGAAAATTGGTGGCGAACGCGAGGAAGACAGCGGTGGTGGGCGGCGAACGGCGCAATCGGCGGTGGCGGACAGCAAATCGACGGGTGTATGTGAGGTTTGTTTTGTGTGTGTGTGCGTGCCTTCTGTACGTGACCGATATTGACGGTGGCGGCAGATGTGAGGGGATGTGCAGCGCCGGCGGAAGGAGGTGGCGCCGGCGGTCTGGCGGTGGCGAGCGGCAGGTGGCGACGAAGCTGTCGGCCGTGTGTGTGCACAGTGTGTGAGTAGTGTGTGTAAAATGTGTGCGTGAGAGAGACAGCACAATGTGTGTGAATACGTGTGTACAGGGTATGTGAGGTGTGCGTGTTGGGCGGGCCAGATGTTAATTGGGTAGAAAAATTACTACACTGTCCTTATTGTATTTTAAATTTGAGTTTTTTTTAGTAGTTGGATCATCCTATCCAATGATTAAAATTTATTCTTATTTCTCTGATTGAGAACCATTTTAAGGATGGATCCAATAAGACCACTCCTTAAAATGAGTACGTGAGACTCAATTTTAGCTACTCATTTTGTCTAGATCAAAATCAATTAAAATATACATTAATTAAATAATAAAATAGTTGACTGTTGACTCCGGCGTTGACCGTTGACTCCGGCGTTGACCGTTGACTTCCGGCATTGACTTCCGGCGAGAATCGTTGACTTCCGGCGTTGACCGTTGACTTCAGGCGTTGACCCGTTATATTGAAATAAATAACCTAGCAACAAAAGACACTCAACCTTGAGTGGTGTAGTGGTTGCATTGCTTGTCTTACCTCCATGAGGTACAAAGTTAAAATCCTATGGGTTACAATTTTTTTATAAAAAAAAAAATACAACTAACTTAGCAACATCAGACAACTAACCTAGCAACAAAGCACAACTAACTTAGCAGCATCAGACAACTAACCTAGCAACAAAACACAACTAACCTAGCAGCAAGAAGAACAACTAAACTACAACTAACCTAGCAACAAAACACAACTAACTTAGCAATTATCAGACAACTAACCTAGCAGCAAGAAAGAACAACTAAACTAGCAACAAAGACAACTAACCTAGCAACAAAACACAACTAACCTAGCAGCAAGAAAGAAATAACCTAGCAACAAAAGAAACTAACCTAGCAGCAAGAAAGTAATAATCTAGCAACAAAAGACACTGTGCTACACGCGAGGGGGATCTCTTTCCCATCTCGGTGTGTGTGTTGTTCTGAGACTGGACGCCATGAGATTGAGACCTTTACCCACCTTTTTCTAGAGAGTGAGAT